GGCCCTTGTCCAGCCGGGCCCCTGCGGCTGGACGGCGGCGCTCGGCGCGGGAAGGCCTCCCCGGTGGCCTCTCATGGATGCAGCTCGGCGGTTCCGTGCGCCCTCCTCGGCAGCGGGCGGTGGCCGGTGCTCTCTTGCGGATCTGGGCATTCGGCCTCGGGGGCTCCTCCTCCTCCTCCCCCTTCCCCCGGCCATCTGGGCTCGGTTCCCCTTGAGGTTGTGGTCGCCGGCGGTTCTGAGGTGGTTGGGCTCATGGATCTTGTCCAAGACGTGACCTTTGGGGCTTCTCGGGGTGGTCCGGTGGCGGGGCGGCGGCCCTGGCGGTGGGAGTCGCGTCGGTTGTAGGCGGACTGCGCGACTCGGATGCGGGCGTGCAACCACGGCCGCTTGGGTGGCATGGTTGCAGGTGGTTGGCCGACCGGGGATGCAGCGGTAGGGTGGAGCACCGGGGTTCGTCACTTACCTGTCCGTACACGGGTCGACGGTGGCGGCGTCCGCGGATGTCGTGTTCCTCCCTGTAGGCTCCGTCGTGGTGCTCTCACTCCTCCCGTCGTGTTCCGGGTGAAAACCTGATCTTTGGATCGGACGATGGCGACGGTCCGTGGTCGTGCCCTTCTTGGAGGCATCGTCTTGGAACCCTCGGTCCGGCGTGGTCCGTTGCACTTCTTCCCGGACGATCTCTCATCTTGTGGTAGTCGTTGAAGTTGTGTGTCGGTGCCCGGCATTCTTGTTTCTTGCCTTGGGTTGTGTGGCGTGCGTTTGTATCGGTTACTTGAATGTAAGTGTTGGTGCTTTATTTATAAAGCGGGGGAAAACCCTTTTTTGGAAAAACACACTTCATGTATAAAAAATATCTGCAAATGGAAAAGAATAAAACGAAAAGGGAAATAGAGAAAAAGATTTTTTTGAAAGAAAATAAAAATAAAGAAAGAAATGATAAAATAAGGAAATAAAATATGAATAGAAAAGAAATTCAAAGTAAATAATTGGACACGAAAACCAACAAAAATGCTAGGGAAACAAACCGACAAGAACCTGGTCTGAAAGAAAATCATAGGAAACATGCTACTCGGCCATGGCCTACGACGAGGACGCCCATAGGTGATTGGGGCATATATCGCATCTCTAACACTGATCCCCAAATTAGAGACCGTGTTCGTCTGTGGACTGGTGGGGAGCGGAGAGTGATGCAGGAGCCGGTCGATCCAATCGTGGTCATATCCATTTCAAAACAAGTTTGAATAAATTTTACAAATTTTATCGAACATGATGTATTTCAGTATAGTTTGAACATAATTTACATAAAACGGATTTCGGCGGTCAGTGGGAATGCCATGATATGGCCGGATCTGGCTTTTCAGCGTCTCTGGCCAACAACGAGGGTTGTGGTGGCTCCTGAATGATAATGGCGCGGTTGCTACGTGGGAGGTGTGCAGGCTAGCAGAGGTGTGATGCATGGAGGTGTGGTGTTCGGCGGTGCTCCAGGTGAAAGCTTGCTGGCCTCACCAACGGCGGAGATGTCGTGGACGTCATGGCACCTACTTGGAGGGTGCCCTCAAGGAGTCCACCTCTATACACCCTTGGATCCAGTACTTCTGGTGAAAGCCTAAGGCCCGGTCGAGTCTGGCGACGGCGTTGGTATCATCGCTTCCCTCTTTGGGGCATCGTCTTGAAAACCTTTGGACCCCGTTTGCGCTCTCCATGTGTTAGACGCGCATGGCATTGCGGTAGGAAGGTGCCCGGCATGCAATGTAGTGGTGTGGCGTGTACTTTGGTCGAGATGATGATGGCCAACAATGGAGGTTCACCGCAAGGCTTCGGTTGTCTGTTATTTCCCAGTGTACTCAACAAGTCTCTCCTGGGTCTCAGCATGCCATCGTGGAGTCAGAGCTTGCCCTTGAGGGGCCTAGGTGGTGACGATGACAAGTGGCTATTAGTCTTCGAGGAGGTGTTGGTTGGCACCAACTCTGGACATTTCTCCCGTGTTTTGTAGTTCTCTTAGTTGGAGTTGTCTGGGTGACTGCATTGGTGGCCAGCTATTTGGCATGGGCCGACATGGGCTTCGATGTTTGTGGTGATGAGAGCTTCAATGGCGGAAGTCGATGGTGAAGTCGGAGTCGTTGGCTCATGGAGGAGTGATGACGATGACACTTGGTAACAACCTCTATTTTGTGTTTCTTCTTTGCAGCGTGTGTGTATCTTCGTTTGGGTGGCCAAGTCGGCCAGTTTTGCCCTTTGTGGTCGGTTTTGACAGTTTTATCCCGTTTTCCCATTAATTAACTGGGCAACCTCTTATGTTTAAAGAAAATGAGATCCTAGGGGCTGAGTTTGAAAAAAAACTGACAGTTTTATCCCGTTTTCCCATTAATTAACTGGGCAACCTCTTATGTTTAAAGAAAATGAGATCCTAGGGGCTGAGTTTGAAAAAAAAACTGAGTTTTGAGAGGTTTTTTTATGAAGAGTTAAAAATTAAGGAGAGGGACTAGAAATGCTTTTTTAGGGGAAACCTGTTGGCACTTTATTCCAAGGATGAAAGTGTTACAGCATTGAGTACATGCGCTAATAAAAAATCTGGAGGTTCATCATCCCATAAGTAAGACAATTGGGAATCATAAGCATGTCTAGCTAGTAAGTGTGCCAATTGTTGGGGAACGTAGCAGAATTTTAAATTTTTCTGTGCATCTACTCCTCTCTCCCTCGTTGCTAGATGACTCCATAGATAGATCTTGCTGATGCGTAGAAAAATTTAAAATTCTGCTACGTTCCCCAGCACTGGCATCATGGGCTACGTTCCCTTGTCGGCCAAGGGGTCCTCCCTGGGCCCCCATAGTGGTGGACGCGCTAAGCGCGCGACAGAGTTGGGCAGTACAAGACCTAGTGCGGCCCTAGACCTCGTCCGGAGGAAGAGGGTCGGGCAACCCACAGACCGGGGGCCAAGGCGTGTTGGGAGCCACCTCCAAGGATTCCTCGGTGGCCCTCGCTCTAGCCATCGCGAGGCAACCCTCCAGTACCTCCTTGGCCTGGATGGCCGCAATCAACTCTAGGGCAGGGCCTTTCTCCCCTCGGAAAACAATGGCAGAGTCCACCGCAATTTTGGCTAAGTGCCGAGAGGCACACCCGCCAGGACAGAGAAGTCGGACACATCATCATCAGTCAAAGCAGGAAATAAAGACGGCGAATGAGACGGACCTGGGTCGAGCTTGCGTGCCGCAGCACGCCGCAGAGCCTTCTCCACCACGTTGGGCGAGCCACCAACCCTCGCCACCGCCACGCCCAGGAGAGCGCTCTTACGCGTGAGCGTGGCAGGCGACAAAGATGAGCGCGAATGCCCCTTGCCGCATGGAGGACGACTCGGCGGCGCCGACAACAGAGCTGCCGAAGGAGGGACTGGCGAGGTAGGTAGGGAGACCGCCGCGGCCACGGGCGACGCTAGCTCTGGCGAGGACGGGGGGCATACGTCAAGGCCGGCGTTGCTGGTGTCACTCTCGGCCCCCAAGCAACCACCCACATCGCCGATGGGGCCGGAGGGCTCGGGAGAGGCATGGAGCAACGCGGCCGAGGCACCAGGGGGAAGGGTCGGCTCCTCTAGGAGTGCAGTGATCGCGATCAAGTCATCCACCCCTAGGTCTTCCGTGGGCACCGCCGGTCCCGCACCCTGCGACGAGCCACTAGAAGCCAATCTGGCCCCGAGGACTCGTCGTCATCGTCCTTGGAACCAGGAGAGCTGGAGCAGTCCCGACGAGAGCCATCTTGGCCGTCACCATCCGCACCCACGGGCCCGTCCGTAGAGCGTGCATGGCCATCGGGCGGACCGGATGCATCCGCAGTAACATGAAAGCATTCTCATCTATGAGCAAAGATGAACATATGCCCAGAAAGGGTAAGGATCCTAAGTCATCTGAGGGACTAGAGGGAGAAGAACCTGCACTAACAGAAGGAACTGGGGGAGTGCTAAGGAGGGAATAACCAAAATCAAGGTAGCTGGATGGATAGGGACATGGAAGGTAAGGAAAGAGCACATCCATTGGAGTGGGGGTAGAACATCGGCAAATAAAAGAGAAGGTAGGTGGGCAAAGGCATGAGGAAGAGAATGGAGAGCTCCTTATGAAGGGTTGAGGAAGCATGCAACAGTCCATTATACAGTTCAGCAGCTATACGCTTAAACGACCATTATACACTTAAACGACCATTATACAGTTCTTGTATATGTCAATACGCATGCAACAGTCAAATTTAGTTCGATTATTACAAAAAGAGTTTGCCAATCCGTGTATTCATTATCTTATTGTATGGATATTCATGTCATAAAGTGAAATATAGTTTGCTAGCGCTGACTTGAACCACAAGTATTACAAAATGGCTAAAGTGATTAGCCTGAAAGGAACAAGCTAATAACCCTAACAACAAAAGTGATTGAGCTACCTATACTTGTAGTAAAGAATGTTCATGTAGTAAAGTGAAATATAGTTTGCTAGCTCTGACTTGAACCACAAGTATAACAAAATGGCTAACTGTAGGTCAATTGAGCTGACCGCCTGAACATAAAATAAAATAAAATAGATAGCACTAACATGTATTTTCTAGATCATAATCATTACATAAACAGCGCTGTGCAAGCATCAGAATAGAACGCTAGAGAACATCGTCACTATATTTTGAAAGGTCGTCAAGCAGCAAAAGAAAAAGAAGTAATATGTCACTGCTTAAAAAGTTAAAATTGTTAGCTTAACACGAAAGGGTGTGCATGGTAATTCCTTGAATCAATTATCGAAAATCAACTTGGTTTTTTATACCCATGATGTAAAGCATGCTATTACCTGCAGCGTAGACACTTTCGAATAAGTGAAAGTAACCATAGGTGGTGTTTCGCAAGAGTTTCTCAAACTTCGATGACTTAAGCTGGATCGTGATCAGATCACCACGGAGACCAATACCTGTCCACATGAGAGCCGTGTCATTGTCTTCGGCATACGCTAGTATCATTAGGGACCGTCTCGCCTCTACATCCTCCGGAGGAAGTAACCTATCAATTTCAATAGTTTTTTCCAGCACCCATGAAGTAACACCATCAGAAATTCAGAATGGGTCTTCCTCTTCCACAATTGGGCATTGAAGCCTGACAAAAAGAGGAAACCAAGCCCACCGCCATCTGCCCTTATAAGGCTGGTCATAGTGGGAGTAACATAGGTAGTAACATAGATGCCACATAAGCAAAATTGGTGATGTGGCAAGTAGTTAATGAGGAGAGAGGCAAATAGAGTAACATAATATGTTACCATCACATAGCGGTTTCCAATGCATAATGAGTCTACAAAGTAATAAATGAAGGCAACTATGTTACCACACCTATGACACTACCCACTATGAAGGTAGTAACATAGACTAGTAACATATGTATGTTACTAGTCTAAGTTACTCTCCACTATGACCAGCCTAACTGAGAAGAAGTAACTGCCGCTCCCTAAATCCAAGTCCGCAGGCACAGGTATCAAGGATAGCCTCTTCCTATCAAGATCAAACTCAAGAATCCCAACCGAATTGAGCAACCAGTAAATGAAATCCCCAACCATCACAGCAGTCTTGTTGACAGAAACAATGGCATGCTTGGATGGAAGCGGTGTCGAGATGGGATCGCCCCACGCACCAGTTTCCGACGAGTAAACGTAGGCAACCGCTTCTGTAATTTGTCCCTCCTCACCATCAGTGCCTACCAAGACCACCTGGAAGTGGTCGTCGTCTCCGGCACCGCGAAGCACCGTCCCGCTGATCGGGGCTCCAACAATTTTGAGCCCCGGTGGAACGGCGACGCGGCGCCGGTCGCCGGTGACAGGGTCCCAGACCAGGACCTGCGTGTGCGCTCTGTTGAGGAGTAGCACGAGGCCATGGCGGCATCCAAGGAGGTCGTAGCAGTCGTCACCCTTGTTCCATCGCCAGGAAAGGCGTTCGGGTGGGATCCGATTTGGGGCGTCGAGGGAAGGCTCGAAGCGGGGCTCGAAGCGGCCCCTCAGCTCCACGCGGAAGAAACCGAGGAGGGGAGGGTTGAGGCGGTGGTGGCGGCGGAAGCGGCGCGAGAAGGCCGGGTCGGAGGCGACGCTGCGCCAGCGCTTGGAGGCGAGGGATGCGCGGGGGAGGGAGGACGGCTGCGGGGGGAGACGGAGGAGGATCTCCGGCAGCAGATCGTCGTCGTCCAGCAGCTCCGGCGCCGCCGACGGCGAGCGGGCGCTGCTCATCTCGCCCTACTCGTGCGGCTGCGGGGTGTGTGTGTGGTGGGCTGAGGGCCTGAGGCTCGTCTTGCCCTAGTGAATGAAACGTAGTGCAGGCCGTGAAAGCGACGACAAAGCCCACGACGATGGATTTTTCTAACTATACAGAAGAAGAAAATCCCCTAAAAAAACTAAAGAAGAAGAAAATAAGTTCTAAAAAAAAGTTGATCGACATTTTAACTCTCCGGCCTTTTTTTTGCAAGGAATATGAGAGTTTTATTCCATAATTAGAGGGTTATAACCCAAAGGTAAAAGTTCACTATTCATGGGGTCCTCTGTGTAGCTAAACATGGGTGCTACATTCGTCCACTGTGATTTGCCGAATGATCTGCAACTCTATTATGTTCCCGTCGAAGCTTCCAGGGAGTAAACCCTCTTCCAACCATCAAACTTTTGATCTCTGACTGAATGGTTACCCACTATCATCTAATAAAAGTGGATACAAACTATCAGAGTGACGCTAAAGGCCTAGCGATTTTTGCTCATCGGATCTCTTTGTGAAAAAGCGGGCCATCCACGAGGAAATATTCCAAAGGTAGCTCTCGACGTCTAGTGTCATAATTCTCTTCTCTGGTGACCTAAAGTGACTTAATCTGGCGACCAGTGGCACTAGTAGGAAAACTCAACATCTCGCTCGGCAACTAGGGCGGTCTCGCCCGACTAATGGTTCTTGATCTTGCTGAGTATAGTCCTCTGTGCTCTACTTTAGCGATGACAATGGTGGCGGTGGTTTCGATTCGTTTCATTTCGACCAATCTCTTTTTTGTGTTTTCCATGCTTTGTTCTACTTCAGAGATGGTGACAGTGATGGTGGTTTTGAATTGCTCTACTTCAGAGATGGAGACAGTGATGGTGGTCTGGAGTTGGTTTTGACCAATGTCTTTTGTTTTTTACCCTTTAGTGCTCTTGCCTCTTCTTGGACGCAATCCTTCGATAAAGCAATGATTCAGCATTATGCCTTTTGCAAATGGGTGTGTCCTCTGCCACAATGTCGTTTTGATGGTGACTGTAGTTCATATTGAAAACTTCAGAAATAATCGGACCTTCATGTAAATGCAGGGGCTTCAGCAGAAACAACATCTACCACATGCTCCAGACGCATTGTAGAAGCTCTAATAAACCCCCCTCCCCCCTCAATGCTCTGTCGCAATTGCTCCACAAGACCCTGAGTAATCTTATGATCTTCATTAGAGAAATATGCATCAACATTCAGTACCTACTGACCAACTAAAACTCTAGCCCATCTGTTCAGTCTCTGAGCAGTCGTAGCTTTCCCCCGCTACACAGCCAAAGTTGAGAGGCGACACGTGAATTATTGGCGTAGTATGTTTTGAAGATTGCATAATTTTGCCTCGGACCAGCTGGATGTGCTGCCACCATATATACGAACATGTAGTCGCCATCAACTGACAGTTTACTCGGATCCATATAGAGGTGTTGGAACGATTGATCACATAGCAGAAACCCAGTCACCCCCGCTCCTGATCTGCCCACCATCGTATCGCTAGAAACAAGTTTCTTAAGCCTGAGTGACTCTGAGATTGCATACGCTCATACACATTTAAACAAAGCATGACTAATGTCCTCAGCTCCAATCCCTCCCCTCCCCTCCCGTGTCACTCCCGCGAGCGACCCGGAGGGGGAACCCTCGCTGCCGGCCCCAGCGCCCCCCTCCCCTTCTTCTCCCTCGCCGTCGCCAGCCCTCGCTGACGGGCAAAGCCCGTTCAGCTCTGGCGGCGGTGGGGCTTCTCTTCCCCCCTCGAGGTCGGCCGGCGCGGGACGGCGGCGTTGGGCGGCGGCGCTGCGTCGGCGAGGGGTGCAGCGGCTCGGTGGCTGGCGATGGCGGCGGGGCCGGCGTAGGGCGCCATGGTGAAGGGCCTCGTGGCGGTGGATCCATGCGCTGCGCTTGGAGAGGTGGCGGGGGCCACTCGCGGGTGGATCTCCTGTTGCCCTGCGGCGGGTGGCAGGAGCGGATGAGGAAGGGCGCCGGCCTGGCCGTGCGGGCGGCGGGCCGGCGCAAGCTCGAAGTTGGCTCCCGGGACCTCCCCGTGGTCTTCGGAGCGGATCTGGTGGATGGTGGTCCCCCCTCGCGCGCCCTCTTGCCTCGCCAACCCACGTCACCGATGGCCTCTGGCTCGCCGGATCTGGTTGCTGGGTGGGGTTGGGGACGATGGATCTGGATTGGGGGAAACCCTTGGCCATCTCTGTGGCCACGATGCCGGCGGCGCCCCGGGCGTCGCTCTCCTTCCTGAAGGCGGCATCGAGATCTGACACTGCCCTCTTCCTCCATGTTCCGGGTAAAAACCCCAAATCCCTGGATTGGGTGGCGACGGTGCTCGGGCGTCGTTGTTCTTCTTGAAGGCGCCACCTTGGAACTGTGGTGTGGTGGTCGGAGTTGTGGCGGTGGTGGTGGACTACCGGATGTCAGTTGGCTCCCGCTTGGCTGCTTGCGGTGGATGTGATCCTTGCTGACGGTCGTGTCGAAGTATGGGGTGTCGCTTGCTCGGTGAGGTAGCTGTTGATGACCCACAAGTATAGGGGATCTATCGTAGTCCTTCCGATAAGTAAGAGTGTCGAACCCAACAAGGAGCAGAAGGAAATGATAAGCGGTTTTCAGCAAGGTATTCTCTGCAATTACTGAAATAAGTGGTAACAGATAGTTTTGTAATAAGATAAATTGTAACGAGCAACAAGTGACAAAAGTAAATAAAGTGCAGCAAGGTGGCCCAATCCTTTTTGTAGCAAAGGACAAGCCGGAACAAACTCTTATAATAGGAAAAGCGCTCCCGAGGACACATGGGAATATCATCAAGCTAGTTTTCATCACGTTCATATGATTCACGTTCGGTACTTTGATAATTTGATAGGTGGGTGGACCGGTGCTTGGGTGTTGTTCTTACTTTAACAAACATCCCACTTATGATTAACCTCTATTGCAAGCATCCGCAACTACAACAGAAGTATTAAGGTAAACCTAACCATAGCATGAAACATATGGATCCAAATCAGCCCCTTACGAAGCAATGCATAAACTAGGGTTTAAGCTTCTGTCACTCTAGCAACCCATCATCTACTTATTACTTCCCAATGCCTTCCTCTGGGCCCAAATAATGGTGAAGTGTTATGTAGTCGACGTTCACATAACACCACTAGAGGCTAGACAACATACATCTCATCAAAATATCAAACGAATACCAAATTCACATGACTACTAATAGCAAGACTTCTCCCTTGTCCTCAGGAACAAACGTAACTACTCACAAAGCATATTCATGTTCATAATCAGAGGGGTAATAATATGCATATAGGATCTGAACATATGATCTTCCACCAAATAAACCAACTAGCATCAACTACAAGGAGTAATCAACACTACTAGCAACCTACTAGCACCAATCACGGACTTTGAGACAAGAATTGGATACAAGAGATGAACTAGGGTTTGGAGATGAGATGGTGCCGGTGAAGATGTTGATGGATATTGCCCTCTCCAAATGAGAGGAGCATTGGTGATGACGATGGTGATGATTTCCCCCTCCCGGAGGGAAGTATCCCCGATAAAACAGCTCTGCCGGAGCCCTAGATTGGTTCCGCCAAGGTTCCGCCTCATGGCGGCGGAGTTTCGTCTCGAAAGGTTGCTTTTGATTTTTTTTTTCTCATCGAAAGACTTCATATAGCAGAAGATGGACGTCGGAGACCCACCAAAGGGCCCACGAGGTAGGGGGCGCGCCCCCCACCCTCGTGAGCAGGGTGTGGACCCCCTGGCCTTCATCTTTGGCGAGGAGTTTTCTTTATTTCTTTTAAGATATTCCATGGAGTTTCAGGACTTTTGGAGTTGCGCAGAATAGGTCTCTAATATTTGCTCCTTTTCCAGCCCAGAATTTCAGTTGTCGGCATTCTCCCTCCTTATGTAAACCTTGTAAAATAAGAGAGAATAGCCATAAGTATTGTGATATAACGTGAAATAACATCCCATAATGCAATAAATATCGATATAAAAGCATGATGCAAAATGGACGTATCAACTCCCCCAAGCTTAGACCTCGCTTGTCCTCAAGCGAAAAGCCGATAACAATAAATATGTCCTCATGTTTAGAGGTAGAGGCATCGATAAAAATAAAATACGGACATGAAGGCATCATGATTATTCTCATAACAGCAACATATATAGATTTTGTCATATGATTACTTATATTCAAGTGATGATCTTTTCACAATGCAAAAGTATGAATCAGAAACCTTATTGAGCACCAACAAACTGTAACCTCACTCATTGAAGAAATTGCAATTTATCGTAACATCGAAAAGAGTCTATGTTAGAGCTAAAAAGCAAGTCCACATACTCAACTATCATCTAGTCCTTCATAATTGCTAACACTCACGAAATACTTGTGGTTACGGAGTTTTAATCGGACACAGAGAAAGATAGGGGCTTATAGTTTTGCCCCACAACCTTTTACCTCAAGGGTAATGTCAACAATAATAATTCATGCTCCCCTACGTCCAATTAGATATATATATCATGTTCTTTCCAACATGCTGGGCTTGCCAAAGGATAAAATAAAAAAGAAAGGTGAAGATCACCGTGACTCTTGCATAAGGTAGAGGATAATAATAAAAGATAGGTCCTTCGCAGAGGGAAGCAGAGGTTGCCATGCGCTTTTATAGTTGGATGCACAAAATCTCAATGCGAAAGCGTCACTTTATATTGCCCCTTGTGATATGAACCTTTATTATGCAGTCCGTCGCTTTTATTACTTCCACATCACAAGGTTGTATAAAGCTTATTTCTCCCACACCAATCAATCATACATATTTAGAGCAATTTTTATTGCTTTGCACCGATGACAACTTACTTGAAGGATCTTACTCAATCCATAGGTAGATATGGTGGACTCTCATGGCAAAACTGGTTTAAGGGTATTTGGAAGCACAAGTAGTATTTCTACTTGGTGCTGAGAATTTGG